CTTTCACAACGCCTCCAGCTGCTGTTGATGCAGTGTGAGATCCATGTCCTTCAGAATCCCTAGGTGAGGGGACGTCTGGATAGCTAATGTTTCCTTCGCTATGATAAAACTTTGCTCCAACTATTTTGCTGTAAAACGTCCATTTTATGACAGAGAAGTTGATAGTCACACAACATAACCTTTAGATGAAATGGTTCTGGAACGACTCATATATACCAAAATGAAGTTGGGATGACACAGTATATTATATTATCAAGTGCACGATTTGTGTACTTATATACGTAGAGCCGTAGAGGGGAATTATAATTAAGGAAGCTTACTTATTGCAAGTAAAATTTAAGGAGGCTTGGCAGCTGCCTTTCCATTTGCTTGGAGGAGGGCCAAACCCTTCATCGCTGAAACTCTCCGATTCAGGCCAAATACCGGTGTCTAACATTCCAACAATAATGTCGCTCTCAATTTGTGTTCTTTTAACTTCTTGAGGGAAGCCCATAAAGTCCCACGACCTCGTTGTGTGGAGTTGCTTTTTGGTGCTAGGGAATACAGACACTACTCCGTCCATGCCTAAGTATTATATATAAGTAAATTAGACTAGAAGCAAGAAAATCTGGACTGCATGCTACAACAAATTAACAAACTAATTGATTCATAGTTGACATACTAGCAATTTTCTCCTTCTCTTCCTCGGTCAACTTGGCAACAAAGCCGTTGAAGCTTCTGTGGTAGCTGTGGAGCCAAGATTTTGATGCCCTTTGGCTGAATCCATCACATATATAGTACAAGTTAGATAATTAATAATGTATTAGTTTTCCTCTTTCTTCACATAAAAAGAATTTAGAAACCCATGGTTCCAATATATATTTTGAGTTCCTAAGCATTTTTTTTTTTATATAAACAGAAGTTAAACAACCTGCCCATAACTGATTGTAGCATGCTCATGTGCATTGAAGTAGCAGAGAAATCACTCTTGGAGGGAAGATCTCCCATGTATACAATGTATACCTGCATGCAAATCTAAATAGTTAGCCAAAAATTACTAATTCAATTTCTTTGCTATACATACGAAAATACATACATACATGCATGTATGTATACATACACGAGTAGATATTATATACGTGTGTGCATGTTGTTGATATATATATATTTATACATGCCTTTTCACTGGCATCAGATTCTCCACTGCAACTGATTAATAGAGCACATATGAGAGTTATGAAGAGGAGAGGCCATGGCTGAGAAATTTGGGAAGCCATAGAAAATATTTGATAAAATCGGATTTCCGAAATGCTGATAATTTTCATGTATGGAAAGTTTGAATTTATAGAGGAGAATAAAACTTTTTTCTGCATATGAATTCTCGAACTTATATTGTTATTCCCGCCTAAACAAATGCAAAGTCCAATGCCGGCACTAACAAAGTAACAATGTTATGAGAGTCTTAAGCTTGAAGTTTATGTTGATGTCTCAAATGGAACTGCCAAATAATTTGGGTTGTTTTAAGGTTCTTTTATTAGTTTACCACGCAAATAAAAATTGAACATGTTTCCTGTGCCAGCTTGCATTTGATCTAAATCTGGCCAGAAACCAAAAAAAAAAGTTGTGCCTCGAAAGTTGTTTGGTGAAATCCCTCAAGCGTATGTTATTTTTCACAAATAATAAATTAGGTGAGGTAAAACTTACCATGAGAAATACACTTTAGTCTGAAATATATTGACTTGAAATCAAATACTAAAAATTTGATTTTAATCCACACCAAGGGGCGAAATCGATATATGATAAGTTTATTTTATTTTTATTAACTATTCTAACGAATGCCAAAATGCGTGTGAATAATATTTTGAGAAGGTTTGAGCCTCATTATTCTCAAAATTCATTTTTCCAAAATTCATTTTCAATCACACATTTTCATATAAAATAATTTTACTCGTAAATTCAAAATTTTTCCTATTTTTTAACCACATCCTCCAAAAAAAATCACTATTCAAAAATACATTATCCCTAAAAAATAGCGCTCAAACAGGGGCATGTGAGAAGAGCATGTTAGAAATTTGACTCCACCAACATAAAAAAAGTAAGATTTTACCTAAAAAAAATGATTTTATAATTGATGCGGAAAAATATCGATAGCCTTGAGCTCGAGCTACTTGTCCCGAACTCAACCTACCTCAATTATGCTAGTTCCAAGGTCGGGGTTCTATGTCTAGGTTGGGGTACTTGTTGAGGTCGGGCTATATGAGCTTTTGTGTGGTCTCCTTAACCTTATCCTATACCTTCTAGAAACACTAATTCTATTTTGATTATGACTCTTAATGACTTTCACCCTTATCCGAACTACTTACCCACCACAGTTTGGTTTAAACTCAAACAGAACACTTTGAATATGACACAAACACCTTTTATGATGAGGATAAGGATTACAGGTGTTTGGATCATTTCAGGACTCTATCACCAACATCTATAAATACAGGACCAAAGTTCACTATTCAGGTACTTGTTTACACAATTTCCAACATACAGTCTTTCACATCAATTCTCTCTCTGACTTAAGTATCAGAGGGGCGATGATGACACACCTCAACACTTTTGTTTCAGGTATTAAAGATCTGTTCTCGCATAATTCAAGCATTCAGTTCGAGATCAAGCATGTGCAGGTTTTTGGTGGCATCAATAATTATTATCCACGAGAAGAAATAATTTTCAAAATGTTTCAATCATGTTTTCCGAAACAACACTATCTAGCCAAACATACCATAATCTTTTTTCCAACTCGGATGAAAATGAAATAGCTAATGTAAAATATATAAATGAGAAAAGGCAGCGAATCTGCTCCTTCTGTGCCGTTAAACACACGGAAACATGTAATAATCCAATGTTACGAGTAGTACATGCATGCCACTCACAGAAAGTTCATTAACCACATGATTAGCAACACTATTTTAAGGTGAAAAGAGCATTAAATAAGACTAGTTTATGCTTATGCTTCTCGATGACAAGCAAGTATAGTAAAATGCCAGTTAGTCGTTAAAGATAATCGAGTATTGACAAATGAGTTTCTTAATAATAAATAAAGAATGCTTGATTATTTGGTTATGGTATTAATAATAGTAATTATTGTGATGCACATTTCTACTTTAGCTTTTTATCTTTTCTTTTTTTCCCCAGAGACTAGTAAAGCGTCGTGCATTTTGCATGACTTGCTAGGAGAACTGTTAGTCTAATATTGCCATTATGTGTAAAGACCAAAATGCAAGGGTTAAATTTTTATACAAGTAATTGAAGCACCCAATTAAATTGTCAATGTTATTAGTAAAACGAATAAAAAATATAAAAAAAGAATGCAATTCTTATTATTATCTTTGTGCCATGTGATTTGTGAAAATGTAAACAAAATGATCCCCGAATTTCACCCCAAGATAGTCCATAACTATCCTACACCCAGGATAAATAAAATATTAAGAGGAAATACCTATTTAGAGGGACACTCTTGTTCGATTTTTATACAATATGAGATTCATAATAATCACATTACAAGTAAGAATCTTATTCTATTTAGATAGGCGAACACATTACTATTTTAATTGGACAATATCAAGTTAAAATCCTAACAATTTGAACATGTGGCCCATGTGAATACTTAGGAATTGATAAGGGAGTTCCTTATTAACCGCTCAATCCACACTCCAATTTTCTCACTCATTACAATATGGAAAGAAACTACCCCAGTCAAAGTTCATGTTAGGTTGGACTTCGCCGCTGAACCTATTTGAGTTTGTCACCCTCCCTTAGGGGTATGAAAATTAAAAGTTACGTGGTTCGACCCTAACAATACCTAGAGAGGGGTGAATAGGTATTTCATGCGGAATTAAAATCAATCACGAATTAAACAGTAACAAGTCACTTTTAATTCTTATCTAGATGGTTAATCACGCAAGTCAAATTATCCTATATTGAATTACGGTAGTTTGCATATCATAAAACAATAAATAATGAAACAGTAAAGAACACAAGAGTTGTTCACGGAGAAACCCAATTAGGAAAAACTCCGGACACTTTACCAGTCAATCCACTATAAACGAATTAACAACTTACAGTCTACCAGACTAAATGACACGTACTATCTGATCACCCGACTGCACTGCTTACAGCTCTTTGTGGATCCCGTGCTCTCCTGCACCAATTCTTAGTTGTTGTTGCCAAAGCTCTTCGTGGAATCTGATACCCTCTAATACTCCAAACCTGGTGAACTCGTTTATCTCACGTGGATCACGAAGAATGACCCATTCTTCACTGACAGGAACTCCTGTCAACTTCTTTCGATCTTCAGAACTCTAATCAGATGAAGAGAAAGTAGTGATTTGGTATTTGGATTATGGGACTGATGTTTTTCACATCAAAACTCTTACAGATGAATGTTGAAAGAATCAAATATGAAGGAATCACTTTGCTATCTTTTTCTCTCTATGTTCAACCTCATAAAATTCGTACAGAAGTGTTTTGGTATTTATAGGTAGGTCAAGAAACGAATGGGCCGAGTAAAAAGCCTTGAAATCAAGAAATAAAAATTTCCCGGACAGCACTGTTGCTCGAGCAAGGGTCCTCGACAGTCGAGCGACATCCTGTCCCTCGAGCGAAGGAGGGGCTACAGTCTAGCGACGATGTTTCTGTTTTTGTAGCTCGAATCAACCCTTGGCAACAGCCCAACAAAAATTCGCGCCGTTTTCCTCTTTGTTCCAAACTCGAAACCTTAGACCTCCAAATTAACTTTTGAACACATTGCACATTACTCCTTGAACTATTATAATATATCAATTTCAGTCAATTTGTTTACAGAATCGCCAATTACAAATAATCTAAAACCTAACAAAAGTTTTAGTTTTACATAACCTAAATAATCTTCATTTTGGCGCCTATGTGACTTCCACGAGGACTGAAGGTGCAACCTGTGAAAATATTAGTTTTGGATTGAAAGTAGTAAGTTTAGGATATATATAATTTTTTAAAATCATTTTGAGTGAAAAAAATGCCCCTTCAAAGTTAGTCGTGAAGGGAGGTTAGAGGCAAGAGCATCCGGTGGAAAGGGAAGAAGAATTGAAGACTATACTTATTTGCTTTTAAAAAAGTTCTACTTCTCTTTCGTTGTGTTTTATTAAAAATGGTTTAAGATGTTTCGTATTTATTACAACCTTGTGATGAGACGTTATATGTTGGGATGAGATTGATGTCATGAATTTTATGTGTGTATTGATTAAGTTTAAATAGAGCTTTTAAGTTACTTTTCCATTCATTTTGAGATTTTGTGATTTGAATATTCCAGAATGCATGAAAAACGTGTAGTCCCTTTTGTCGAAAATGTTAAAAAATTAGAATTACCTTATCTGCCGTGAAAATTGGGACCTTCCATAGAAATATTAAAGTCACAATATGGAAACTTTTCAAATACAAAACTTATTTACACCTTGTTTGATCCACATTTTTAAAAAATTCATTTTTTTAACTCATTTTCAACCATACATTCGTCAATAAAATAATATTATACGTAAATCCAAAACTTTTGCTTATTTTTTTATCACATATTTTTCATCACAACATTATTTAAAATACATTCTCCACTTAATAATGTGCATCAATCAGGGTCTTAGAAATATGAAAGTTGTTGGCCCCTTCAACTCGAGTTCAAGCAAAACCGTACTATAATGAAAAAAGAAGGGAGGCAATGAAGCATATATTGAGCGGTCAAGGAAGGATGTCTCCTATGAATTATTCAATATTCAGAAACATGATATTACAAATCATTACAACTTTTTGCAACAATTCACCATGTAGTTATTTGAGTTCATGACATAAATAATTTTCATCAATAAACATTTAAAATTACACTTGAGATTTTAGGCAGCATAGGCAACCACAGGACTCCTCACTGTATACATTCCATCATGCCACACCAAAACACCAGACAGCATTCTGGAAGTCAATTTTGCCTCAACTGTCACTACAAATGTTTGCTTCTGCCCAACAGATTTGAAAGAAAGAACGGACGGAGAAACTGTAATATTCATGAGCCCGGTTGGCGCAAGCATGACTGCAGAGTAAGTAGATACTGGCGAACCAACATTTGTGACCGTCCGATGGAAGACACGGGTGACAGAACCGCCAGCAGTTGTAGATAATGCAAAGGAAGGATAGTTTAGGTCCCAAACTGTACCATTGTTAGATTGAGTGCAAGTGCTGTTATCTCCAGTAATAAGTCTCAAATTCTTAGTGCTGTAACCTTGCCCGCATAGGAATTTGACGTAGTCATTTGGTCCCATGTCGTATACCAAACCAGGACTCTTAGCCTTCACTGGATCTATATGACCCGATCCAAATGCAAACTCCTGATCCGTGTTTGTAAGTGGACTCATTGGAGCAGCTGGAAATTAAAAATAAAGAGAAGCAATGGTTACTTTATTTTTTTCATTTTCAGTATTAATAATACAATAGATTTGTGGCAATTTGATTTAAGAAATGCTTAACACTTTAGAATTCAACCAAGAGAATTACCCGTAGTCATCAAAGCAGACTTAATAGCGGCAGGAGACCAGGTTGGGTTAAATGATTTAACATAAGCAGCTGCTCCAGTGGCGTGAGGGCAAGACATGGATGTTCCAGATATAATATTGTACGGAACAACTCTAGTGTCCCCTTCCAATCCGGTAACTGTAGATAGTTCTGACCATGCAGCAACAATGTCCACGCCAGGTGCACTTAGATCAGGCTACAGAAATGCAGAAAAAGAAATCGTTAATTCAATAAGCAGTGAAATATAAAAAATGTTAAAAGTCTTTACATACCTTGAGGATGTCTCTTGTTATTGGATTTGGTCCTCTTGATGAGAAGGAAACCACAAAGGGGGCAGCTTTTTCTACTGCTTCAACACTCTTAGCAATTGTAGCAGTTGGGTTACTGTATGATTAACAATATAATCAGATACTCATTTATAGCGGTCAGTTTAATAATTAATGAATTGTGTAAAACAAAGATAGGAGGATACAATTTTATTTACCTTGTTGTGTTGATATACTTAAAAACTTGGGTACCATCAGTGGATGTCAAGTATGATGCTGATAAGGGAAAGGAGAAGGCGTAATCTTTGAATCCATTATCTTGCATTATAGTTCCGATTGCACCCGCTCCTACTTGTGGTGTTCCATGATCACCCAGTGAATCACATAAGACAATGGTTCCATTTACCAGTTTTGCATCTAGAGAGCCAGGTAAGCAATATCTGCAATAATTTATGCATCACTGACATTGAAAAAGAAATGTTACAACAATCATATCTAATTGTAGATCTATCTTTAAAATCTACCTAGACTCGGAGCCATCAGAACCTGGTGCAGGTACATTTCCTCCGTAGACTAATGAGTACGTCTCATCTTGGAGCTTAAATGTGTTTACAGAAACCCCCTGAAAAATAAAAAGTTAAACACGGTTTAAATTAGTGGGCAATGTCTCGAAATTAATATAAAACAATTCTGATACTAGTTCCACATTTTATTTAGTAAAGAAGGAATATCTGATTATCACCTCGTAACTTTTACCGTTTCCCAAGAAGACTTCTGTCAAAAATTTCCTGTCGATGACATTGGCAGCAACTGAGAGGGACCAAGGTGAGAAATTTAAGATGCTTTCAGGATCAGGTCCAGAATTACCAGCAGAATTTGATGTGAGTATTCCATTTTTCATAGAATGGAATGCACCAATGGCAATTGGATCGTCAAAATAATCTGAAGGAAAAATCCCTCCTACTGAAAGTGATATTATATCAACTCCATCGGAAATTGCATCATCAAATGCTGCAAGAATATCAGAATCTGAACAACCATCAGACCAGCAAATTTTGTACACTGCAATGCGGGAAGAAGGCACCCCTCCTCGAGCTGTTCCCCAGCCAAGACCTAACAAACTTGCCCCTTTCACAACGCCTCCAGCTGCTGTNCTTTCACAACGCCTCCAGCTGCTGTGGATGCAGTGTGAGATCCATGTCCTCCAGAATCCCTAGGTGAGGGAGCGTCTGGATAGCTAATGTTTCCTTCGCTATGATAAAACTTTGCTCCAATTATTTTGCTGTAAAACGTCCATTTTACGTTAGAGAAGTTGATAGTCATACAACATAACCTTTAGATGAAATGGTTCAGGGACGTCTCATATATCCAAAAATGAAGTTGGGATGACCCAGCATATTATATTATCAAGTGCAGAATTTGAGTACTTATGCGCGTAGAGGGGAATTATAATTAAGGCAGCTTACTTATTGCAAGTAAAATTTGAGGAGGCTTGGCAGCTGCCTTTCCATTTGCTTGGAGGAGGGCCAAACCCTTCGTCACTGAAACTCTCCGATTCAGGCCAAATACCGGAGTCTAACATTCCAACAATAATGTCGCTCTCAATTTGTGTTCTTTTAACTTCTTGAGGGAAGCCCATAAAGTCCCATGACCTCGTTGTGTGGAGTTGCTTTTTGGTGCTAGGGAATACAGACACTACTCCGTCCATGCCTAAGTACTATATATAAGTAAGTGGGTGTTTGGTAGGAATTAAAATTAGGGGCGTGTCTGGTGGCGCTAGGTATCAAAATTTCAACCGTTGAAAAATCAAAAAATGGATCGTTGTTGCATTTCTTAATGGACAAAATCTGACACCTTTACAGTTGAGGGACAACCCATTTACACCTCTTTTCCAATTTTACCCCTTTACAGTAGAGAACCTTGAGA